AGCTGACAACCTTTCGTTACTTTTGCACTAAGTGCAACTCCCTGCTGAAAAGGCTGTTCTGTCTCTCACTAGACTTGAGTCTCAGTTCAATGTGTTGGTACCTTTGGTATTCTATACTTCCTCTGTGTGTGTGTGTGTGTGTGTGTGTGTGTGTGTTTGGGGGAGGGTAGTACTTTTTTTTTTTAATTTATAGATTTTACTTATTCATTCATGGGAGATACAGAGAGAGAGGCAGAGACACAGGCAGAGGGAGAAGCAGGCTCTCTATGAGGAGCCCGATGTGGGACTTGATCCCAGGACCCCGGGATCACAACCTGAGCCAAAGGCAGATGCTCAACCACCCAGGTCCCTGAGGGTAGTACCTTTTTATTGCAGTGTAACATATATACAGAAAAGTACACAAATTGTAAAAACTTTGACTAGTTTTTCACAAGATGAACACACCCATATAACAAGGCCTCAGGTCAAGAAACCACATTTTTACATCCCGGAAGCTTCTCTCATGTTCATTTTAGTAACTACCCAGTATGGGCAAACTCTCTTGTCTTCCTACACCAGAGAGCTTCTTTACCTCTTTTTAATTTTATACAAAGGGAATCATAGAATATATACTCTTTTGTGTTTGGTGTCTTCAGCTGAGCATTGTGTTTGTGAAATTCATTTCTGCTGTATGTTGTTAAAATTTTCTCATTCTTATTACTGTACAGTATTTTATTGTGTGGATATATAATAATTCATTTACCCATTATACTCTTGATGAGCATTTGGGAAATTTCTAGTTTTAGGTTATTAGGAACAATCCTGCTACGATTCTGTACATGTCTCTTGACGGACATATGTACACATTTCTATTGAGTATATATTTAAGGAGTGGATTTCTGAGTCATAGGTTATTAATTAGTGGTTGCTACCAACAAAATTTCTCAAAGTGATTGTCACAATATACATTATCTCAGTGGATGAGGCTTCACATCTTTGCCAAGACTTGGCATTATTTATCATTTCCATTTTAGCCATTCTGGTGGGTGTGAGGAGATATTGCATTGTGGTTTTAGATCTGCTTTTTTATTTTTCTTTTTAAAGATTTTATTTATTTATTAATGAGAGACACACAGAAAGAGGCAGAGACATAGGCAGAGGGAGAAGCAGGCTCCCTGCAGAGAGCCCAGTGAGGGGACTTGATCCCAGGATCCTAGGATTACTACCTGAGCCAAAGACAGATGCGCAACCACAGAGCCATCCAGGTGTCCCAGATCTGCTTTGTTCTTTAAATTTGTGTGAGGGATGGCTCTTATTCCTAGAAGTCCCACTACTAACTACTTAACCTATATAATGCTTGAGGAATTAATTTAATGTAAGTTCCTTAAATGGCTCTCCACCATTTTCAGGATAGGGCTGAAACTATATAAAATGTCCCTCCACCATTTCCCCCAAATGCCTTCACTCAAGTCATGTGGAGCAACTATTCTTGCTTTTCCCCCATGTTTTTCCTCTTTCATGCTCTTTCAGTTTGGTCTTTCTACGTGGTGTTTCCTCTGCCTGGAACCCTATTCTCTGACATCACTGCCTGACTGACACATATTCAGTCCTCAGGACCTAGCGAGAACATTGCCTTTTTCAGGAAGCCTGTCCTGACCATCATGACTTAGCTGCTTACAGTGTGCCAAAATGGTCAGTTTTCTCGTTCACATCCATCAGATCTTCAAAGGCAAAGGCAACTTATGTTTGTCATAGTGGATAAGCAGCAAATATTTGTTGAATGGATGAATGAATGAACAAATGAATGCACTAATAAGGGAGACTTGGAAATGGGAGCAAGCAGAGATTTGACTGTGTTATTTATCTAAGAGGAATTTTTAATTTAATTTAATTTTTTAATTTTTTAAAGAGGAATTAAAAAAGCAATAATAATATTGATACTACTACTACTGTTACTACTCTGTTCTTCCTTTTGTGCAGCTGCCTTAAACAAAGGCATTCAATTCCAGTATTGAAAGAATATTGAGAAATGCCCCAACTTTATGCAAAAATGAATTCCTTTAATCACAGCAGTTACTCTGTAGACCAGGGGGAAAGTGATTAAAGCAGGTGACTATTCACTACTGGGTTCAGTGAGAAGTAGTTTCAACCCTGCCCCCTAAGGCCGGGTGGGTGGAGAAGTGTGACGTCCTTTCTGCTGTCTTCAGGCTCAGACACAGTCAACACAGGTTTGATCACTTAGTATTTCCCTCCAGATTTCCTAAATAGAGAAGCTCTTATAATCCAGAAATCATTTATGGAACAATGGGCCACCAGTGGGTCACTGGATTTAGCTTTAAATGTCACAGCCAATACATTGATCGGCTCCAGGCTTAAAAGTATGGATGGATAAATCTACCATCTAGATTTAAGATACATTGCTCTGAAGCAGTTACTAATGTATGCCAGTGATATTGGGCTAAGACAGAAATAGAAAACCTTGAATCCATAATCCAGATGGGGCTGCCAGCTTTATTTTTTCAAATTTAAACATTCAGGATTGGTTGAAAGAAAATCACCTGCTAGTGAAAATCATTCATTACAGTTTCTTTAAGAGCACAATATTATTTTCACATTGTTTTCTTACTGTAAAAAGTAACAGAATGGGATCAAAACTACAATGAGATATTACCTCACACATGTTAGAATGGCTAAAATTAAAAAAAAAAAAAAAAGAAACAACAAGTGTTGGTGAGGAGAAAAAGGAACCCTCATGCACTGTTGGGAATACAAATTGGTGCAGCCACTGTGGAAAACAGTATGGAGGTTCCTCAAAAAGTTAAAAGTTAAAAAAGTCAAAAGAGATCTAAGATCTACCCTGTGATCTAGTAATTGCACTACTGGGTATTTACCCTCAAAATACAAAAACACTAATTCAAAGGGATACATGCATCCCAGTGTTTACCGCAGCATTATTTACAATAGCCAAATTATGAAAGCAGCTCAAGTGTCAATTGATAGATGAATGGATTAAAGAAGTGATATATATATATTATATAAATATATATATTTATATATATATAAAATATTATTCAGGCCTAGAAGATAATGAAATCTTGTCATTTGTAACAACATGGATGGAGCTAGAGAGTATAATGCTAAGTGAAATAAATCAGATAAAGAAAAATACCATATGATTTCATTTATATGTGGAATTTAAGAAAAAAAACAAACTAAAGAAAAAAGAGAGAGGGGGCAAACCAAGAAATGCTTAACTATAGAGAACAAACTGATGATTTCCAGAGAGGAGGTGGGCAGGGGGACAATGGAAATAGGTGTTGGGGATTAAGGCATGCACTTGTCACGATGAGCAACCGGGTGATACATGGAAGGGTTGAATTCCTACATCGTACACTTGAAACTAATATAACACTATGTTATATGCATTGTATGTTAACTATACTGGAATTAAGATAAAAAAAACTTAATAAAAGAGCAAAAAAAATCCCCAAAGTCTGAAACAAAATATCTCCAATCCAATCCAAACCAAACCAAACCAAACCAAACCAAATCAAGCCAAATTCCCCACTCTGCACACCTAGGATGTGGCCTTCATCCTCTTGCTCCAAGATGACAACTAATGTTTCAGGATGTTCCAAGCAGCAGGATGAGGAATGGACCAAAAAACGGGAGCAGAGTATTATTATTATTTTTTTTACTAGATTTCTGTTTACATTCCATAGGCAAGAGAGTAATCCCATAGCCACACAGGGATGGAAGGGGCATATACTTGTTATGTACTTTATATAAAAGTAAATTTCACTAGCAAATCTTTTTTCTTTTCTTTTCTTTTTCTTTTTTTTGCAAATCTTTTTTCTATAAGAGATATATAGTATTAAGCCTTTGGAAGTCCCAAATTTTCTTTTTTTTTCTTTTTTTAAAATTTTTTAAAATTTTTATTTATTTATGATACTCACAGAGAGAGAGAGAGGCAGAGACACAGGCAGAGGGAGAAGCAGGCTCCATGCACCGGGAGCCCGATGTGGGATTCGATCCCGGGTCTCCAGGATCACGCCCTGGGCCAAAGGCAGGCGCCAAACCGCTGCGCCACCCAGAGATCCCAAGTCCCAAATTTTCTAAGAAAATTTGAGTCAGAAAATGATTATCCAGTTCCTGAAAGGCCACCTAAAAATGAGAAATTCTAATCTTTTTTTGGTAATTTTATTTTTTAATTTGTGTACATTTTTTTAATTTGAGTTTGATTTGCCAACATATAGTATGTGCCCCCGAGCATATGACAGTGCTCAGGCCGTCAAGTGCCCCCCTCAGTGCCTGTCACACAGTCACCCCATCCCCCCACCCACCTCCCCTTCCACTACCTCTTGTTTGTTTCCCAGAGTTAGGAGTCTCTCATGTTCTGTCTCCCTCTCTGATTTTTCCCACTTATTTTCCCTCCTTTCCCTTCTAACCCCTTTCACTAGTTTTTGTATTCCCCGTATGAGTGATCTTTTTTCACCATGCCATGTCATTTCTCAATCTCTTATTTAACAAAGTAAATATATGATTTTTATACCAATACATTTAAAAATATAAATTTGTAATGTAATAGTGGAACTGGAAACATACTATTTGCCCAAGAGAGAAGGAAACTAGATAATGTTCTATGAGAAAAAAAAAAAGGTAACAGAATGGGGAGTTCTACATATAACTGTATGAAAATGCTTTTGTTCTGTGGGAGACCACCCACTCCACCACGTCCCTCTCCCTAGCATGAGCTCCACAAAGGGAAGGACCATGTCTTCTTTGTCTCTACATTCCCAAGCCTTGGACCAGTGCCTGGTCTAATAAATGTCCAATAATCTTTTGAATGAGAGGCATGTATCACCCACATGCTGGCTGTCTCTGTGGATTTTGTTTTTGCTGTGCAGCAACTTTTGAAACACAACTCAGCACTTTTTTACATCTATGATGAATGAATTGCATTAGCTTCCAATGCTGATTTTACTGAGCAGTTTTTAGGGAAAATAGAGAAAAAAGCCTACCTTACAGAGTATGAAGCATTTTGTTCCTCATCAAACATGCACTTCTAGTCTCTCTCACTCTCTTTTGGCTTTAAGCACTGGATTCTCTCTCTTCAAAAGTACAGCATCTCTGTTTCCCAAGGAGTAAGATACATATCCATGAGAAATGCTTTTTGTTGTACACGTAATGATTTTAGATCATTCCTAGAAATAATGCAATATCAAATCTTGTAGTTAAAAAAAACTATTCTTTAAAATTTTTTTCTTAATCCTTCTGAATATATCAACAAGAATGAGTTCAGTTTGCCATTATGTTTCCTTTCTTTTTTTTTTTTTATAGTTCTATGCCTTTTTGTTGTTGTTTTTTCTTTTTGTTTCTTTTTTCTTTTAACAAAGTTTGAGCAGGCCTCAAGCCAGAGCCTAGATGAGGCAGTAGTGTCTAGCTAGACTTTAATACCTTAAATTTCTTCACATTGTATTTATTTTTATAATTAATTTCTGTATATCTAAAATTATACTAGCTTTTATTTCAATGTAGTGAAATAAACCTTTATTTAAAATAAATTTAAATTTAAAATTCAGTCAGTTCAAATAAAAATCATAATTGATGATTGATAACTTTAGAAAAGTAGAAGATGGTAATATTTGGAGTTTGAAAAAATGACAATAGATTGAGGTAGATCATTTTTTTTATTATTGTTAAAAACAGACAGTCTGGTATGGTATAATGGCTAATTTTATGTGTCAACTTGGCTAGGCCATCTTACCTAGCTAGATAGTTGGTCAAACATTATTCTAGATGTTTTTAAAGATATCAGTAAACTTTGAGTAAAACAAACTATCCTCCCTACTGTGGTGGGTCTTATCCAATCTGCTGAAGGCTTTATTAGAAAAAGACTGACCTCACCCATGCAAGGAGTTCGGTTAGCAGACTTTGGACTCCAACTGCCACTCCTCCCTGGGCCTCCAGGACTCAGGATAACAGGTCTGGAGAAAGCAGGTAAAATGGATGTGACACCCATGTGGCCAAAGAGACTCCATGTAGATAGCATTCTTTAGAAAGTCCCTAACAGCATGTGTGCACACACACACACACTCTAAACTCATACTCACAGAGCTCAGGTCTAGGATTAGTTGCTTGTACTCATTCTTTTTATTTTTTTAAAGATTTTACTTTTAAGTAACCTCTACATCCAACATAGGGCTCAAACTTATAACCCCAAGATCAAGAGTCTCATGCTCTACCGGCTGAGCCAGTCAGGTGTCCATCATTCTTAAAAACTTGTTTGTAAGAATATTGCTGGAACAACTGATAGGTCAGCCAATCTGAGTCTATTGCCACCTTGACAGTGTAACAGAGTATCAGAATGGGAAGACAAAGTCAGTGTATTTAGATATTTTGAAAATCAAAATATCAAAGGGGCTGGTTTAAGGCAGGTCTTTCAATGTAGGGACTGATTAGAATTAGTGGACACAGCAAGGCAGAGGTTCTCAGGGTGAAGGTTTTGAAGTGCCTTGAGGAGATGCCTGGGTGGATCAGTTGGGTAAGCATCTGCCTTCAGTTCAGGCCATGATCCCACGGTCCTGGGATCAAGCCCTGCATTGGCTCCCTGCTCAGCAGGGAGTCCGCTTCTCCCTCTGCCCCTCCTCTCCACTCATGCTCTCTCTCTCTTAAATAAATAAATAAAATCTTAAAAAAAAAATAGAAGTGTCTTGGGTACCTGGGTAGCTCAGTCAGTTAAGCAACTAGCCTTTGGCTCAGGTCATGATCCTGGGGTCCTGGGATCTTTACCCATGTCAGGCTCCCTGCTCAGTGGGAAGTCTGCTTTTCCCTCTGCCCCTGCCCCTGCCCTTGCTCATTCTCTCTCTCTCTCTCTCTCTCTCTCCTCATCTTGTGTGTGCACTCATGTAGGTGCTCAAATACAAAAATAAATAAAGTTTTTTTTTTTTAAATAGAAGCATCTTGAGGTATGAACAGTCATTAGATACTATCTATTGAAATACTGGGCAGTCTGATGTTCAATCGATATGATTTAAGAAAGCTCCTAAAAGGAATAATACAGTCATTTGTAACACTTTATCTTCCCAGCAAGAGTTCCCTGGAATAGTTGAGTCATATTGTCAAAGACAATTGATGGCACAATTTGTTTTTGCCACTCAGGAATTTTTTTTAATTTTATTTATTTATTTATGATAGTCACAGAGAGAGAGAGAGAGAGAGAGAGAGGCAGAGACACAGGCAGAGGGAGAAGCAGGCTCCATGCACCGGGAGCCTGATGTGGGATTCAATCCCGGGTCTCCAGGATTGCACCCTGGGCCAAAGGCAGGCGCCAAACCACTGCGCCACCCAGGGATCCCCACTCAGGAATTTTGAAGTGTGATTTAGCAATTTTTACTTTCACAAAAACTTCTATTTCTGTACAATATTGATTTCACTGAGAGTTTTTAAAAACAATTTTTTAGACAGAGGGAGAGAGAGGGATAGAGGCAGACGGGGAGGGTTAGAGAGAATCCTGAGCAGAGTCCTGCTGAGCAAGGAGCTCAATGTGGGAATTGATTGCACAACCCTGAGATCATGACCACAGCCAAAATCAAGAGTCCAATGCTTAATCAACGGAGTCACCTAGACACCCTTACTGAGAAATTTTTTTTAAGGGACAAGAAAAAGAAAAAGGTTTAGCTAGCAGAGTAAAGTCATGTTGATGAAGACAGAATACTGAAGTCCTGTCAAGGTAGACAGCACGTGGGTGTCCATGAGTTTGATTCTTAGGATCAAGACTCCTGGTTACACATGGCAGAAAACACAACCCAAACAGGATTTTCAGACAGAGATTCTGTTGGCTCAGGATACTGCAAAGAATCCAAGTGTAGGCATGCCTAGAACCAAGGGCTCACATTATTAGACCATCTGCTATGGATATATGATTATAGAAAGATATATCATTATTGTGTTTCTCTCCATTTCTCAACTCTGTTGTTTTTTTTTTTTTTTAAGATTTATTTATTCATTCATTCAGAGAGAGCGAGAGAGAGGCAGAGACACAGGCAGAGGGAGAAGCAGGCTCCATGCAGGGAACCTGATGTGGGACTCGATCCCGGGTCTCCAGGATTACACCCCGGGCTGCAGGCGGCGCTAAACCGCTGTGCCACCAGGGCTACCCAACTCTGTTGTTTTCTGTATCAGTCTCATTCTCAAGCCAACCCCCTCTACTAATGGGAAACATGGAAAATGATGGAGACATGCTATTTTAGAGAGAGAGGGAGAGAGAGATCAAGAATGTCTCTAAGAAGAGGGGAGTTAAATCGGTCATGTGAACTCCTAGTGGAGACCTTCTAGGCAGAGGAAAAGGCAAAAGTCAAAGATTTCAAGTTAGGAATGTTTAGGGTGTGTGCAATTGGTAGCAGGCCAATTGGGATAGGGCGAGCAAAGCAGAGAAATGAGTTAGAGATGCTACATATTAGAAATGAGACCAGAGAGAGAGAGGCAAGGGCAGATTATATAGTGATGTATAAGCCATGGAAAAGAGGCTGGACTTCACTCTATATGCGAGAAGAAGACTTTGGAGGGTTTGGGGCAGGAAAGTTATAGGTTTATCTTATGTTTTAAACCATTCTCTCAGGACACATGGGTGGCTGAGTGGTTGAACATCTGCCTTTGGCTTAGGTCATAATCCTGGGGTCCTGGGATAGAGTCCCACATCGGGCTCCCCACAGGGAGCTTGCTTCTCCCTCTGCCTGTGTCTCTGCCTCTCTCTGTGTCTCTCATGAATAAATGAATAAAGTCTTTTTAAAAAACCCAAACCATTCTGTCAAGCTGTTAGGTAGAGAATTCACTGTAGGAGAATGGTAGCAGGAAGCCTGGTTAGAGTACAAGGTGAGAGAAGAGCGTGGTTTGGTGGTAGACTAGCAGGACTTGCTAACGGACCAGATGTAAGGCATAAAGGAAATACAAGAGTCAAAGATGGGTCCTAGGTTTATAGCTTAGATATAATAGGGATAATCATATCATTTATAGAGGTGGGGGCACTTGGGAAGGAGCAGGTTGGGAGTCAGAGTTCTGGACATGCTTAATTTGAAATGTCTGCCAGACATCCATGCAACATGTCAGGTACTTGGACAAATGAGTCTGAACCCAGATGATAAATTGGTCTTGGGATATTTTGGGAGGCAGGAATGTAGATGACAAAAGCAGGATGCTAAGAACCAGTCCTTGGGGTACTCTAACATATAGAGACTAAAAGGTAGAGATGAGGGCAGCCCTGGTAGCTCAGTGGTTTAGCGCCGCCTTGAGCCCCAGGGCCTGATCCTGGAGACCCAGGATCGAGTTCCGCATTGGGCTCCCTGCATGGAGCCTGCTTCTCCCTCTGCCTGTGTCTCTGCCTCTCTCTCTCTCTCACTCTCTCTCATGAATAAATAAATAAAATCTTGGATCCCTGGGTGGCGCAGCGGTTTGGCGCCTGCCTTTGGCCCAGGGCGTGATCCTGGAGACCCGGGATCGAGTCCCGCGTCGGGCTCCCGGTGCATGGAGCCTGCTTGTGTCTCTGCCCCTCTCTCTCTCTCTCTGTGACTATCATAAATAAATAAAAATTAATTTTAAAAAAATAAATAAAATCTTTTAAAAAATAAAATAAAAAATAAATAAAAGGCGGAGATGAACCTGCCAAAGGCTACTGAAAAGTAGTGACCTGTAAGGTGAGGCAAACCAGGAGTATGATGTCTGGCAGCCAGGTAAAGTGAGCATTTCCAGAATGATTGAGTGATTAATATGTCAAAGGTGCTCAGAGTTTGAGTAAGGCAAGTTCTCAGAATTGGCAAGTGGAAACAATTCAGATCTGCAAAACACACATTTTCTGTGGACTACCGGCATTGTGCTCTCAAGTCCTCATTCCTGCTAATGATGGCAAAAGAGAGGATTAGTGAGGTGATTAAAGATTGCTTCCTATTTTTTGGATTTTATTTTATTTTAATTAATTTTTTAAAAAAAATTTAGTTATTCTCTCTGGGGTTAACTCAATCTCTTTGGGGTTAGTATTAAGTTCAAAGACAGAACTGCTCATCAACATTATTTTCCCCTCTCTCAAAGGTTTCTTCTGACTCTCAAAAAGTCTTCTGGGGGCAGGAGGGAGTGTATGGGGCAAGGATGGGCCACTGGTTTTTGGTCTTTGCTGATGTATGTAGCACCTGCTGGCTGGTTCTTTAGTCTTGGCTTTGTTTCTAAGCTCTTGGCCCTAATCAGCAGCCCAGGCCTTTTCTGGTCTATCTTTGAGTCCTTTCTTCTCACGACGGGGAGCACAGCAGTGTTGTTCACTGCCCTTAGCCATGGCCACCTTAATGTGGGTGCCAGGATCAATGAAGGCATTCTCTCAGGATCTTGCCACTTGCCTTAGTGATGATAGGTGTGCAAGAACAAAGCTCTCCCTTTACATTAACTCCAACGCCATGTTGTTTTTTTTTTATTGTTCTTCACACTCCTTCACCATCAGGGGCTTTAATCTTGAGAAGTGGTAGACAGGACACTTGCTTCTGACCCCTTTGTCTTATTCGGGGTCTTTTCTCTGTGATTCTGTGATCCTAGGTGGCCAGACTTGGTTCTTGGTAAGTAAAGAACTTTTCCAATGTAGAGAAGACTGTCTCTCTTAAAAAAAAAAAAAAAAAAAAAAAAAAAAAAAGGCCAGTATTTAATACTACTGTGTCCCTAGAGAGTCAACTTTGAGAGTCAAGGCTAAGAAATAAGTTTTTTTTTTTTGAATAAGGAATAAGTGTTGAAATTTGTCAGAAATTATTCAACATTTATGGAAATAGTAACAATTTTCTTCTTGAAGCTATTAATATGGTGCATTATATTAATGAATGTTCTTGTAATGAAACAATATATATTATTTTTTAATTGAAATATAATTGACACCAACATTTTATTAGTTTCAGTTGTATAACACAATGATTCAATATTTGTATTATGGTGAAATGATCACCACAATAAGTCTAGTCAGCTTCCGTCACCATACATAGTTTAAAACGTTTTTTTCTTTTCTTTTTTTTTTTAAAGCTTTTACTTATTAATTAATTAATTAATTAATTTATTTATTTAAGATAGAGATAGAACGTATGAGCTGGAGGGAGGAGAAGAGGGAGAAGCAGACTCCCCACTGAGCAGGGAGCCCAACACAGGGCTCCATCCCAGGACTCTGAGATCATGGTCTGAGCCAAATGCAGGTATTTAACCGACTGAGCCACCCAGGCACCCCTGCAAGTTTTTTTTTTTTCTTACGAGAAGAACTTCTATGATCTATTCTTTTAGCAATTTAAAAATATGTAATATATACAGTACTATCAGTGATAATCATCCTGCTGTACGTTACATCCCCATGACTTATTTATTTTATAACTGGAAATTTGTACCTCTTGTGTATGGGGTTAATTAGAAAAGACTTCTAATTAGCTCTTCTTTGAAAGCAGAGAAATCCATCCATCCATCCACCCGGTGTAGCATGGAGCCACATGGCAATATGCTCTAAAAGGAATGAAAAATACAACTATGTTATCAGACACACTATTTTAATAACATTATCCCCTTTTTGTCTAGTTTCTTACAATACCCCTTGGTGAACTGCATTGCTCTTACTTCTCATGGGCTTTCAGCCATACCTGAGCAGTTGCCTCTTGTTCCAATACTCTTGTCCTGCCACTCAAAGAATCTGGGTACAGCAGGGGGACCTCCACTCTCAATTCTGCTGCTGCCTTTGCCAGGCAGACATTGTCAGGCAGTCCTGAATTCAAATTGTGTTTATCCCATCCCCATATGTGTGACTACATGTAAGTCACCTACAACACTTTCTGAGCCTTACTTTCTATCACAATTATAAAATGTGCATAATAGGGCACCTGGGTGGCTCAATGGTTGAGCATCTGCCTTTAGCTCATGTTGTGATCCCAGGGTCCTGGGATTGAGTCCCACATCGGGCTCCCTGTGAGGAGTCTGCTTCTCCCTCTGCTTATGTTTGCCTCTGTCTGTGTCTCTCATAAACAAATAAATGAAATCTTTAAAAAAATGTACATAATAATACTGATCTCAAAGGATAAATGAGAATATTAAAAATAAGGGAATTAATAAATGTAAGAAGCTGGATATAGAATTGGTGTTCCAAAAAATATAAATGATAAAAGAGTACTTAAAAGAGAATTAGGGTTTCTCTTCACACCCCCAGGTCTGGTGGCTGGGCACTCTCTGTGTCTAATGATTTTTATGTGTAACCAACCAATTCTCCAACACCAATGGGGTGTTGAATAATTCAATTTAGTTCTGACACGGACTGCCTGGAATTAACCTAAGACTCACCAGGACTCATTCCCACAAGAATGCCTGCCCTCACTTCAGATGCCAGTAGTAAATATCAGGTCCTCAAGCTTCTCACACTTCTGTCAAAGGTTCCTAGCCCTTAACTCTCCACCCCTCCAACTCCCCAGCCTCCCACCCCTGGTTCCATAATTTGCTACATGAAGCAGCATATAATATATAATATGTAATATATATCGCTCCTGTCCAAAGGCACCTGAGCACAGGAGCTTCTGTTTCGTGGAGTTGGGGTAAATCACCCTGCCAGCAGCACATGGATGTGTTTGCCAATTTGTAAGCTTTCTGAATCAATTGTTTAGAGGTCTTTAAAGAAGTTTCATTACATAGGCATGATTGATTAGATCATTGGCCATTAGTGACTGAACTCTATCTCTAGCTCCTCTCCTCTCCCCAGAGGTGGGGTGGGATGGGGTTGAAGGTTGCAACCCTCAAATCACATAGCTGGCTGTTTGCTCTGACAACTAGACCTCATCCTGAGGCTATCTAAGGAGAGTTCCAGAGTCACCTCATTAGCATAAACTCAGGTATGGTTGAAAAAGGCTCCTTACAAGTAACAAAAGACGCTCCAATACCACTCCTGTCACTCAGAAAATTCCAAAGGTTTTAGGAGCTGTGCTGGAACTGGGGACAAAGACCAAATTTATTATTATTATTATTACATTATTCCACTAGTTACTCCTCAGACTTTGACTACAGATCCTTTTCAGCAAAATGATCATATGTCTTGTCAGAACATTTACATTTGATGCAGCATGTATAGAATTATTATAGATACAGCAATAGTACCAACATGAATATACCTAACAGATTTGGAGAAGCCAATGTGGGCTAGAAATAGATTTGAAGAAACAACTAATTTGTCCCACTAAGCCATTACAGACACTTTCATATTCTTGAAAATTACATACATTTGACCTATTCAGCTTAAAAGCTTTCCATCCACAAAAACGAGGGTAATATGTATCTCTGCATAGCACACTGGCACATTGGCTGCCATTTTAATTTGTTATAATAAAATTTGGTTGCCAGTTGGATTGCTCTCTTCTCCCTCGATCTACTGTAGTTTGTGCTTATGATAAGTTTGTGCAGGACTATTTAGCATAGAAATCAACTGATGGTTAGTTCCTCCTCAAGCCAGTCAATTTCTGTAGGCGTGTCCTGAAGAGGTCTTGACACAACCCCCCAATACATTTGATAACCAATACTGGTGTTACCATAGGACTTATTTACATGATATAGTTGAATCTTCAACACCACCAGGATTACACCACATGGCAGTGTGGTCATGGTACAATTTGGTAGCCCAAAGATATAGTCATATTACTAGCATTCCATTTAGTCATTTACGGTTGGTCCAGTTTATTATCATATCATATGACCAGAATGTCTTCCAGAGTGCTCTCACTCAGATTTTCAGGCTGCCATTTGACTTTGTCAGGTTCCAAAAGCAGGAGTGGTCTTGACAAACATCAGCTTCACACTTCTGGGCATCTGGTTTAACTGTGCTAAGAGATAATATTATTCCCTTGCTCTGAGTCTCTCTACAGTGATTAATATAATATTGGGTTTCCCTTGTTGCATAGCTTGCTTATAATTTCTTTACCCTCAGCTATTATTTCTCCTTCTCTCCATATGTTTATAGATATGTATCTTTTTTACTCAGACTTTTCCACCTTTGGAAAGGACATTGGTTCAGATTGCTGGCAGCAATACTAGTCTAGCAAATATCTTCCCCTCCCACTGCCTCAGTCCACTCCCATTCATCTAGGGTAAGGTTACACATATACACAACTAATGGGCTGTCTCAACCAGTAGACATGACAATAGTATTTGCTGTGAACTCCAACTTTCCCAGATGGGTTGTAGGCACAGTCTACCCCAGCAGGTCCTCAAGAATTCTGACATAAAGGTTTAAAAGTACAGTTATGGCTTCCTACTTAGGAATCATCTCTACTTCCAGTAACTACAGTTAGATCCTTGGCTCTGGAAGCATGGCATCAGGTAGGAAAAAAGAAAGTTGTGGTGACATGGGGGAGAATTGTATAATCACACCAGCATTCTCCCCTACCCCCTTCCCCTGATCCCCCAGAAAATTGGAGGAATCTATCCAGTGGGGATACTTAGCCCCTCTCATGTTGAGGGTGAACACACACTCATGAAGTTATGTAATCCAGTTCCTCATGCCTTTATTTCTCCCCCTGTTTTCGACATAAATGTTTTAGTCAGCAAATGTTCGACTGCCCATTCCAATTCTCTATTAAACTACTCCTCTAAGAACGATATGCAGTACGGTATGCCCATTTGATGTGTATCTCTTGCCCCTCTGTTGGACACTATGGGCTGTGAAGTGCATCCTTTGACCTAAAGAAATGTAACTCAGTCAGCTAAATTGGTCCAGTATATTCTGTTCCAATCCTTTAATAGTAGTTTGAATATTTGCATACATTTGGGAATGCAAAGCCCAGTCTGGAGGGTCTATTCCTCTAGGGCCCATTTATAGCTTCCTGGAGCCACCAGCATTTGTCCAATGTATCCACTTACCAGCTATGGGTGGGGCCTTTCTCCTGGGGAGTTTTCCCCATAGCCATTTGCAGCCTCACTTATTGGCAGACAGAACAGTTCTTGGTGTTTTGTGACTCGGAAGATGTAAGAGGAATATGTAGATTCAGCTCACCTCTGCCTGCTATAGCACCGCCATTCCCTTTCAATCCAAGGACCCAGATAGTCACTTCAAGGGAGAGCATCAGAAGGTCCATTTGGGGGTTCCCAATCATCTTTCGAATCTGGGAAAGAATTCTTCTGATGGGCATCAACATGTATTCCTTTAACACATCCCTTAAATTTCCACAGCAATTTCTAGAGGGCTGTATCTTACATAGGCATCCATTTAAGAGTCCACTTTTCCACTGTTTATTTACTTGACCAGCACTGGCTCCTGCCCATGAATTGGTAAAAACTCAAGGATTTTACCTTTATTCAAGTCTTCCATTACTGCTATGAAAAGAGCATCCAGTTTAGCTAATTGAGCTGATTTATTCTTACCTTCTTTAGGGTCTTTCCTTCTGCTGGTATTAATGTTGCAGCTTTGCAAACAGTATAGTATTCATTCTCCTTGGAACTGTCTCATAAACCAAGCAGTTCTTGGTTAGTCAATTGAGTGGTATTCATAGGGTACTGTTCATGTGGTGACAGGTTTTGGCAGCTCCTGAGGTGGTTCCAAAGTCTGGGAAAAAAGACTACCTCCTATGCATACAGGTGGATGACTCCTCAATTCCCCTAACAGCATGTTCCTGTAGAAACTGTTGCCATTTTTTTCTGGAACTCCTTGGGGCCCTATTGTCCTTATTAGAGCATTTCTCTGACATCACCCAAGACATTATGGGTATCTCAGGTTTCGTGGTTATTTCATGTCCTTCAGCCATACAGGCAGTCTCAAATGCCCAATAGCAAGCTAGTAATTATCTCTCAAATGCTGAGTATTAAGCAGCAGCATGTAGAATTTTCAGGTCCAAAATTCAATGGTTGTCATTGGGAGGCAGATACAGGCTTTCACCATAGGCTCCACTCTGCATGTCCAGTGGCAGACACCTCTAAAATTATATCTGAGCAGGGATCATAGGGCTTAAAAGCACTGAGAGTTATCCCTTTATATAACTGAGATGTGGCTTGCTTTTGTTCATTTCCCCACTCAGACATAGCCTTCTCTCAGGAAGTCTTCAGGAACTAGCAATATTTCTAGGTGAGGAATATGTGTTCTCCAAAATTCAGATAAACCAAAGAAATGTGGACTCCTTGTTTGGTCTTAGGGGTGGGTAACAAATAGCAGCAGTTTTTTTTTCAGTCACTTGTGAAATGTCCTGGGTGGCTCCTGACCAGATTAAGAATGTTGCTTGGTTGGGTGGGTCCTTTGATCTTTGTTGGGTTTATTAACCTCCCTTCGTTGTTCACATGAGTCACGATAACATTCAAGTCAGTCCTAGCTTGTTCTTAGGTTTTCAATATTATCATAAGATCATCAATATTGTATATTATCACCTTGGGACCTCCATCAAATCCAAACTCCTCTGACCAAACTCTGACAGTAAACTGGTAGATCCAGATTGCCCTGTGGCAGTAAGTAGAGGTAAATTTGGATCCTTTCCACATGAAGGTGGACTTCCGTTGGTTCTCTTTTTGAGACTAAAACAGAAAAAAAAGTTTGGAAGATCAATCACGGAGTATTCTATGATCTATTTTTACTCATAACACTTCTAACACCAAACGTGGTTATTCTCCCTTCCACATCAACCAATTCTACTCTCTGGACACCAACTAGCTGTCTTACAGTTCAGTTCTGATGCTAACTACTTGGAGTTAGTCTCAGACCACAGCTTTAAGAGCTCAGCCCCACAAGATTGCCCTCAGGTCAGATGCTGGTTGAAAGCGTCAGGTCCCCAGGCCACCCGCATTGTGTTCAACTTGGCTACAAGGTAGGGGTTCTCACAAACCCCTACTTTAGAGGTATTTGTTAAAATGATTCACAGAAATCAGAAAAATGCAATGCTTACTTATGGAGTTTATTATAAAGGATATGGTGGGGTTCAGGACACACTGGTCCAAAATATTGGACCTTGGTATTCTGAATATCTTAGACTGGAGGAATTTGAGAAAACAGTGGAAGCAGGAAGGTACTGTGCCCCACCACACCATGTTTCTTTTCCTCCTTGCAAGGAGGAGAGAAATCTCCTATGTGAAAGGAATCCTTTCTTTACCAGGAGGAAGGGACATATTCTTATCATCAGTGACAGGGAATTTAGGTCTGAATAGGCTGGATAAACAAACTTTGTTAATTCATGGTATTTAATATCTTTGGTCCAAACTCCTTTGCTTTGCCAATTCTTCACAACTGTATTGTTTCTTTATCTAAAAGATATAGAAGCTTTCTGCTTGGGTCACTTCTTTGGGTCTTCATTTTCTTGTGAAGGCTCCCATGTACATGTAAAAGTTCAACATAACTTGCATCCTTGTCTCCCATTAATCTGTCTTTGTCAGTTTTATTTTCAGAAACAATCAGGAATGTCCTAGGGGGGTAGGGAAACTTTTTTCTCTTCTACAGATACAATGAACAGCTAGGTGAAGAGGTACATGGGGTGAGGTCTGAAAGTGTCTCCAGCTCAGGAGTCATTGGGGTGTGCCACCTCCTGGCACATGGATGTGTTTGCAGACTTGGAGGCTCCCCAAATCTCATTGTTTAGGGGTTTTTATAGAGATTCATCATGTAGACATGATTGACTAAACCACTGGCCATTAGTGATTAAGCTCAGTATCTACTCCTTCTCTATTCCCCAGGGTTGTGGGGGTGGGGTTCCTCTGGCAACCAGCCCCCATCTTGAAACTCCCCAAGGATCTTCTAAGAGTCACCTCATTTGCATTAACAGGTATGATGGAAAATGGCTTGTTATGAATAACAAAATACATGCCTATCCCCTCTATCATTCAGGAAATCCCAAGGACTTCAGGACAAGGACAAAACCCAAATATATTATTATTATTATTATTATTATTATTATTATTATTAATATTCTATTACAGCCTCTTTTCTACCATCTCCCACTCTAGCCATATTGTCGCTTGTTGAATACACCAAGAATATTTGCTACCAGGGACTCAGCTCATGCCCCTTCTTTTTTTTTTCCCAGAGTGTCATATGGTAGGTTTCCTCATTTCCCTCTGGTCTCTGCTCAAAGCTCAACTTCTCAGGAGGCCATTCCAGTCATCCAGACCCCCTATCCACCTCACTCTGCTGTGTTTGTCTTTGTCACACTTAGCACTGCCTGACATGGTTACTTTTTACTTTTTATTTTTTTTTTTGTCATCCTCACTCTTTAAAAGAGTATAAACTTCATAAGGGGAGGGGCTTTATTTTCTCCACTGTGAATCCATAGCAAAACCCACACTGCAAAACCCATTCATCCACCTGTAGTATTTGCCAGAACGGGTGATTCAGGATCTATTCCTCTATCTTCAAATTTGCCACAAGCTCAGGTTTCTCCATACCTCAAATTTTATTATAAGCATTTTCAAATATAAGAGTAATTGAAAAAATATACAATGAACTCATTGTATACAGAAACTCTTACCCCAGATTGAACAGAAGTTAATATTTCATCATATTTATATTCTTTCTCTTTCCTTACTCTATTTTTCTCTTTCCCTTCCTTCCTTCTACTTTTTTTTTAATTAAGCTGTAGATATTATATGATACTTTGCCACCTAAATATTCCAGCGAGTATTTCCTGGGAGTAATAACATTTTCCTACTAACAAGAATTCCATTGTCATACCTAAGAATATTAACAATAATTCTATTATCTGATCTAAAATATGGACTATCTTAAAAACTTCTCCATTTGTCTTGAGAATATCTTTTATAATTTTCTTCTTTTCTTTTTTTGATGCAAGTATCAAGGAGCATACATTACCCTTAGATTTTGTCTCTTTTGTCTATTTAAATCCAAAGCACTCTCTCCAGATTTCTTATCCTTACCATTGTTTTTTGATAATTAGGCCAGGTTTCTTTAAGAACATGCTACATTCTTGGTTTGATGTCATTTAAATCTTTCTTTTAGTCTTTGTATTTTCTACAGTCCTGTTGAAGTGGACATTTGATTAGATTAACATTAAATACTTTTGCCCAGAATACTTATGTTTCCTATAGCTATTGTAACAAATTGTTATACATTTAGTGGCTTGAAACAATACAAATTCATTGTCTTATAGTTCTGGAGGTTAGAAGTCCTATATAGGTCTCACTAGCTAAAATTAAGGTGATGGAAGGGTAGTGTTCCTTTCCAGAAGCTCTAGGAGAGAATCTGTTTCTTGGCCTTTTTCATCTCCTAGATGCTGCCCACATTTCTTGGCTGGGACTCCCTTCCCCACCTTCAAAGCCAGCAACACCATATCTCTCTGGCCATTCTTCTGTAGTCACATCTCCCTCTGAAAGTGCTCCTCTTTTAAGTGGTCATGTGATTAGATTAGGCTTACCTGCATATTCAGGGTGATAATTTAATCTGCAAAACTCCTTTTGCCATGTAAAATAACACATGCACAGATTACAGGCATTAGAATATGGACATCTTTTGTGTGAAGCAGTATCACGTCTACTACAACTTCATAGGTGATATTTTGTGTGTCATCATGTCAAGAGTCCCATTAAGAAACTGTCATTCTACTAGTGAAACTAAGTTTCAGGGGGTTCATAAGTGAACTAGAGAGGAGAGAAGTTAGCAAAGCTGTGGGCCTTAGAACTACCTCAGTGTGCAGGGGAGGGGATAAAAAAACGTAGCTGCCAGAACCTTACCCCAAAGATTCTAATTCATTAAATCAGGGATAGTGGCTGCCATGTTAAGTCCTCTTTCCTCCTGCATAAGTGGGTAGATCACAATTGCCCAAGTCTGGGGCCCATCTTTGGAGGAAACAGGTGAGAGATAACAGGTGGAAGCTTGTTTTCTTGATCTCCTTCGAGGTCTGGCCTCTCAAGGACACCTAGTTATGGAGTCATTTCCCAATTTATCAATAGTCACCAGCAAGAATGAACATGCAACTGACAGTCAAAATCAGTGAGCTTTCTCAGGGAAATGGTTACTAACAGATTTCCTTCCTTGGGAAACAGCATACTTATTCATCCAGGTCATCTGCAAAAAAAAAGGGGGGGGGTGGGGGAGGGCAAGGCCTCCTTGCAAAATTTTTTTGCAATATTTAGCATTTAAATGATATGAATGTATTTTAACTAATTTTATTAATTCACAGAAAAAGTTATAGGAAAGTTGAAAAAAATCAAATGTATATAAAGATAAGCCTCCTTTTCTAGGCTTATCTGAAACAGTTGCTGTTATCAACTTGTGTATCCATCCAGAAATACATTATTTTTACACAGCATATTTATATAGATATGCCAGTATCTTTCTTATACAAATGAGACCATCTTGTACACACACTGTTTCATATTTTGCCTGGATTCTACTTCATTTTCTTTTTTAAGATTTTATTTATTGGGATCCCTGGGTGGCGCAGCGGTTTGGCGCCTGCCTTTGGCCCAGGGTGCGATCCTGGAGACCCGGGATCGAATCCCACATCGGGCTCCCGGTGCATGGAGCCTGCTTCTTCCTCTGCCTATGTCTCTGCCTCTCTCTCTCTCTCTGTGACTTTCATAAATTAAAAAAAAAAGATTTTATTTATTTTTTCATGAGAGACAGACAGGGAAGGAGAGGTAGAGACACAGGCAGAGAGAGAAGCAGGCTCCATGCAGGGAGCCTGATGTGGGACTCGATCCTGGGTCTCTAGGATCATGCCCTGGGCTGAAGGCGGCGCTAAACCACTGAGCCACCCAGGCTGTCCCACCTGGACCCTATTACATGCCAGTACATAGAATCTATTACATTCCTATTTATTTATTTTTAAGTAATTTTTTTAAAGGACCCCATTTCAGGGCCTGAACCCATGACCTTGAGATTAAGACCAAAGCTGAGATCAAGAGTCACACATGCTCAACCGACTAAGCCACCCACAAGTTCTTGCTGAATTCCTTTTTAAATTACATACCTTGCATGAGTGAGTAGGATTTATCATGTCACCTCCGTATTAATTTTCTTTTAGGTTCTTTCCAGACTTTGCTACTACAACCTTGATGTAATGACTAATCTTGTATAAATGGCAATTCCAATGCATATGAGTCTGTTTTAGGACAAATATCTAGAAAGTGATTTTCTGGGATAAAGGGTTTGTTCATTTATAAAGTTGGTTATTTATTGCCAAGGAGGTTGTGGCAATTATATTACCACAGAGTTTGAGAATGTCTATTTCAAAACACCCTCTTTTGTACCCACTCTTAGGCCATTGCAGTCTCAAACTGGAGTCTATTTTAGGAGATGCCAGTTGCCCAAGGACCAGGTTTGAATGTGGGGGAAAGAGCCCCAGTCTAAAAGTCAAAGCAAATAAAGGATCTTAGACCAGTTATTTACCCTTTCTGGGACCTAGGTTTCTCGTTTAATGACAAGATGAACTAGAGCAATGTTGACTCCATGATCCCAAATCTGGGACTCCCATCTGACAGCAATGGTCATTCACCACAATGCATGTATAAAGGGGCTCAATCAATACCCTCTGATCAAGTCCCATCAAATCCTATGTGAGATATAAAAGATAAAGTGTGAGCCTTGACCTTTTAAGATCCAAATCTAGCAAACCTCAAGGAAGTAGTGAACTATAAATGACAGCATATAATACAGTGTCATATTGGGCAGCATGAACTTGAGAACTGAGATTGTTGAGAGGAGGGAAGACTCATACCAGGCACTTGGTATCAGTGCAGGATTCATAGAAAGGTGCCATTTCCCTAAGATAAGTAGAAATTTACCAGGCAAGGATGGTAGAAAGGAACCTGGAGGCATATGGTGTTATGAAAGCCCAATTCACATAATGAAACAGCACACTGGAGCATGGGGAAAGCCTCCCACATGTGGTTGTGTCTTATCATTTGTTTGCACAATCACTGAGAAATGAAAGTGAACTCCTAATCTCCACTACCAGCATTCCTTCCATAGCATTTCCTGTCTCAGGTGACAGTAGCTCTATTCTTTCAGTTTGGTCAAACCTTCGAATCACCTTTGACTCCTCTTGTTCCCACGTCCAGCCGATCACCAAATCTCATTCAACCACTCTTCCTTCAAAAGAGATCCAAAACCCAAGTCCTCCTCTTTATCTTCAGTGCTCCCACCTTTGGTCTGGGGTCCCCAATGTCTCTCAACTGGATTGCTGGGAATGCCTCTTACCTGATTTTCTGCTTCCACCCATGACTTCCTGTGCACTATTCTCAGCATAGGGCAGAGTGATCTTGTTAAAATGAAAGTTGGATCATGTCACTCTGATGGTGTCCAATTGCACCCAGAGTGAAAGTCAGTGTTTATAATGACTTACAAGGTCCTATAGGGCAGGAGATGCCCCTCCTGTCTCTCCCCAGACTTCATATGTATCATTCTCTCCTTTTTATTCATCCTTTCCCTTCAATCCAGCTCTACTAGCTTCCTAGTTGCTCTGGGCACATTCTAGCCTCAGAGCTATGGCCCTGGCCACTCCTTTGTCTAGAAAATTCTTCCCTAAGATAGCATCAAGCTCATACCCTTGTTGCCTCCTCAGTAAGTCCTACCCTACATTCCCAACCTTCCTTATCATGTTCTGCTATTTCTCATAACACTTACTGTGCTACATAATACAATTACTATTTTCTTACATTTATTGCTTATTGCCTGGCTCCCCCTAACTCCTGCTCTACCGGAATGTAAGCTCCACGAGGGCAGGGTTAAATGTCTGATTGCTGCACTGCCTTAATATGGTGCCTGGCTCATGAAAGGATTCGACATATATTTGTTGAAGGAATGAATAAATAAATCATGGGATTTTCTGATGAGCTACCATGAAGACAGAATGGGTCAGAAAGTCGCCATCAAAATGAATATTTTTCTCTTGGTCTGTTTTTGTTCTCTGATAAGAAAAGTAGTACATCTTATTTTGATTCTCAGATGGATACCAACCTATCCGTCATGGAGTAAGAGAGCTTCCAAGAGCTTCGCTTCCTGGCGCTGTCATTTACTACTTGTGTAAATCCCTCTCCCCAGACCTCATTTTCCTGTGCGCAAACTGGGGGCAAGGACGCAAGCCTCCGAAGGAGAGATTAAATAAGATCACGGAAAAAGCATTTTAGGAGGATGCCTACCATTTTGTAAGTACTCAAGAGATCTGAATCAATTAGTGGTATTAGAGACATCGTGTCTTCCCCTAGGATCATCTTCAAGAAAGGCCTCAAAGGGGACGCCTGAGTGGCTCAGTGGTTAAGCGTCTGCCTTCAGCTCAGGTGGTGATCCTGGGGTCCTGGTATCAAGTGCCACATCGGGCTCCCTGCTTCTCTCTCTGCCTGTGTCTCTGCCTCTCTCTGTGTCTCTATGAATAAATAAATAAAATCTTAAAAAAAAAAAAAAGGAAAGAAAGGTCTCAAAGTTAAATAAAGCTCGTGGCTCTAAGGATATTCAGGGTAGAAGTGGGTGGGGGTGGCTTGGCAGTCACCCCTGGGGGCCCTGGCCCGTGGCACCCTGTTCCCACTGTCCTCTCATTGAACCACCTGATTTCCTCTTCTGTGAAGTCGCCTCCCCGTGCAAATCTATGCCAGCGAAGAGAAAAAAGCCAGTTTGGATTTTAGGGGAAAAAAGAAAAGGAAAAAAAAAAAAAAAGCGCAAAGCCAGCCTCGCAAGGAAAGCCCTACCTGTGGGTGGCTCGCTGCCTCTCCCCTCCCGTCCCCTGCCCCGCCCGCAGGAATTGAGGAACCCGCCTTTTAAGGAAAAGAGGCGGTGGACAGGCTGGGACGGAGGGGACGCGAGGGGCGGGCGGGCGCAGGTTCACCTGGCGCAGGAAGAGCGCGAGGCCCCGCCCGCCCCGCCCAGGCCCGCAGGGGCAGGTGCGAGCCAGGTGGCAGGTGAGGCCGGCGCGCGCGCTGATTGGCCGGCGTGGGTGGGGCGACATGGGGCGGTGGGGCGGGCGGATCTGGGGCGCGGGCTCCGCCCGAGCGCGGCCCCTGCCTCCCGCCTTGTTGCCCTTCTTCCCCAGGTGCGCGGCGGCTGGCGTGGGAGCCAGCAGGCCCCGCCGTTGCCAAGTCGGTGACTACGTCGGCTTGGTGGGGAAGGAAAGTGAATTTAGAGAGAATGACAAGGGTTTCCTGACCGACTGTTGGGCGCCTCCAGGAGGAACCCACCCCCGCCCCATAAAAAAGGCATTTTATTGGCCACTGTGTTGCGTCTTTTACATGCTCGCCCATTGGATTCCCACAAGGACCCTAAAAAGTAGGGACTGTTTTAAGTAACCACTCAACAGATGGGGAAACTGAGGACCAGAGACGCTAAGAATTGCCCACCCCCTGGAGTCAGCAAATGGTGGAGTGAGGCTTCCAACTCTACCCTCAGATCTTTTGCCTCCAAAGGGACTGAATCGCTGTCGATTTGTTCGTTTGTTTGTTTTTAAGATTTTATATATTTATTCATGAGAGCCACAGAAAGAGTCAGAGACCCAGGCAGAGGAAGAAGCAGGCTCCCTTTGGGGAGCCTGATGCTGGGACTCTATCCCAGGACCCGGGATGAGGACCTGAGCCAAAGGCAGACGCTCAACCATTGAGCCACCCAGGTGTCCCCCCACCCTTTTTTTTTAAGGACTGTAGGTTGCCATTAATAAAGCATTTTCTTGTTAAAATAGAAATATAACTGACATGTAATACTATGTTAGTTTCAGATGAACGAAAAGTGATTTCATATATGCATATAGTACCATGATATACTACAGATAATGATCACACGTCTAGTTAACATCTATCATCATATACAGCTTTTTTTTTTTCTTGTGATAAGAACTTTTAAGATCTATTCTGTTAAGCATCTTCTTATTTTTCCTAGATTTGCTTAGGGACTTGAAACCGATTTCCCATATTGTGGCTGGTAACGAGAAGCCACCACGCCTCAAACACCACCTGCAGAAAACCACTCTGCATCTTTCTATCCAGATTCCCTTCTCTAGAATTCCTTATGTCACTGAATCAGCAAGTCAAGAATTTAGGAGGGGTCCTTATTGCTCACATCCTCCAGACTCTTTTTTTTTTTTTTTTTTAGGAAAAGTCCTCTTTGCTGTCCACAGGAGCCACCCTGCAGACAGCTTTATTCCTTACAGAAAAGCAGTCCGTCCCTTGCCCTCCCTGCTGTTTGCCTGGGGCAGTGGCGGCCCCTCAGTCCTGGCCCCAGGTGCCTGTCAGCTGTCATCCTCCCCTTCTGATTCTCCCGCTGACTCTAAGGCACTCTCGGACAAGTCACCTCCCATCTGCTGGAACCTTCCAGACTGTGCATCCCACATGTATTTGATGGTGACTTTGAATTCAGCCATCTCCTACCCAAAAAGCTTCAGCACGTGGGCCTGCTCTGGGGTCAGCACATCACCCTCCTTGCACACCACAGGGTCGGACAGCAGAGTCACCACACCTCTCTGAGGGCAGTGGGCAGACCCAGCTGCCTTAGCTGTGGCTCCATGGAGTGGGGCAACTGCTCCAGGGGCCCGGGGGTCCAGGGTCACGGTGAAAGTTGCTTTGTTTTGGGCTCGAGCGAAGTCCATCTCTGTGTATTTTGTAGACCACTCATTCACTTCCTCCTTGGTGCGGTTGGTGAAAAGCAGACTGACCTCACCCCTCACCTTCTTGCTGACCTGATGCAGGTTGTCTTTGTGCCCATCAGCTGGGCTTCGACCCAAGGCCACCATCGTCACCTTGTTTTTGCCAAAGAACATCTGGCTGTGCTTCCAGGCATCCCGCATGTCCTTCAGCTTGCTGCTCCTCATGTTGACCACGGAGAAGATGCAAAGGTACCTGTACGTGTCCACACATTTCCGAAGGTCTTCTATCAGGTTCTGTTTCAGTTCTAAGCCTTTCTTGGCAGTTTTGCTTAAGGAAACTTTCTTGTCGCGCTTGGATTTGGGCATCGCGCTGCAGGCACACACGCCCTCCAGACTCTTCTGGGGGCTGAGAATGTGCTCCCTAAAACTACCATGTCAGCCAGCTTACTCTTCTTTATGCGTCGAGGGCTTTCTTTGGCTGGAAAGATGCTCCTGCCTTCCCTCCCCACTCATCACCTACTCCCTTGAGCCTGGACTCCAACCCTGCTGGTCAAATCAGGTCC